TATGTGGCTACGATCATCATTAGGTAACGTGAAAATCAAAATTCCGGTGATCAATGTCAGGGGAGTGTACGTACGTATATCAAATAAACATTGCGCCAACAGGACAGGTTAGTTACTTTACTTGATTCACGTGATAAAAGTATTAAAATACTTTTAATCATTATAATTTTATATATAAAAAAAAAAAAAAAATGTTTCTTGATTTTTGATCATTTTCCTTTTTTTTTTCTGTGTATGGATGGTCTTTTTTCTATCCTTGGATCTTTTTTGCTTTATGGTATATTTAAAAGCCACAAATAAGCCTCGACCACTTGGAAAATACTAGTAATAGTTGTAACATCTTCTCGGGAATTAACGCTGATGAAACCTAAGAATCTAGACCGTCTGTTTATAAAAAACAAGTTATGTCTTATATACCTATATTACGTACGTACGTACGTAGAGTACGTAAAGTATTCAGGAGTCTAAGATTTAATGGATTCGGGTCATTTTTTGAGTGGTGTTCTGTTCCCGGAAGGTTTTGGTAAATCATGTTTCTTCATAATAAATAAGGATAGTTCAGCAAGCTGGTAAAGACTTATTTGGTAGTGTGGTGTGTGATGTTTTAGTACGTACCAATGTTTATTATAATTTTATAATGAATTCGGCTTAATTTTATAATTCTATCATTCTACAAAATTCTACAATTCTGGATAAATTCAGTGCTCCGGTTCGAATAAAAAGAGATGACAAGTACCATAATATAATTTTTTTTTTTTTTTTTTTTTTTTTTTTTTTTTTTTTTGTAATTCGCTATTCGTCTATTCGTCTTTTCAAATAACAATATAAAATTTATTTATGTGGTTTATGTGTGGTCAATAATATTTGATACGTAAATACTTTCTATTCATATTTGGTTATTACGTACTAGTGTTACGATAATTTACATCACTTACTGCGTTAACTGAAAACATATGTGAGACAATAATTGTGATACAATGCGCGAATAAATTCTATGTTATAAAAACAAGACAATGCCTTATTTATTGGTTAGTAACTCCTGTACAAAAAGAACACTATTAGAACAATAGTCTTCAAGAAAGAAAGAAACTAACCACTAGACAACAATGAAATAATACAACATATAATCATACATAATCTTTATATCTGAAAAAAAAATTTTTTTTAAATTTTTAATTTTATACCTAAAAATTTGATGCAAATATGTGTGCATTAGATAACTACGTATATTACTATAGAATAATACTATAGAATTATAGAATACGTATAATTAAAGAAAAGATCTTCAATGTAAAGCGCAATAACGATCGAAAGCAGAAAATGGTAATTTTGATAAGCGGAATAAGATATAAATGCGATTTGAGGATTTCTAAGTAACTAATCGTGGCCGACCATGTCGATTTTGAGCCTCTCGCGCTCATTCTTCTTGAAAATGGATTTTGGTGAAATGTACTTCTTTTTTGATGTATACTATTTGAAAGTGATTGGCAGATCCGATAAGCGAATTAGGTAATTTTATAAAAATCTTGTGAAACAATTACTATTCAACAAATATACATCAATGGGGTTATTACTTCTGGATCTTTGTCGGTCTTAGCGAGACAAGGTCGACACATCAAACTTCCACGATCTATGTTTAGAACTCCCTCTAACCGTTTAGGCATAGGAACTAAAGCTCGTCCTTCTACATCATATGTTACTTCTTTTCCTTGATTATTTTTACGTTTCTTGCTTGCTGGACTTGTGGTCGGTGGCTTTGTCGTTTTGTCCGTATACACTTCATGTTTGGGATGCGTACATCGTGAAAGTAATCGTGGTCTTGAATTATTCTCCTTTTTATTGACTTTTTTATGATTTGTTGTTGTTGTAACCTTATTAATTTCTTTCGATGCTACTTTGGGTGATGTCTTGGGTGTAACTGAAGTCTTGACTGAAGTCTTGACTGAAGTCTTGGTGTCCTTATTATCCTTATTATTGTTTTCGTTTTCCGTATGGTTCATGTTCTTGGTGACGACTAGGATAGAATACCTTAAACTTGACTGCTTGTAAATATAAAATTGATCCAATATTTCAAAAAAAAAAAAGAAATAAAAAAAAATAAAATAAATAATATTATTTATAAAGTTCGTTTTTTAGGTGTCAAAAAAATTTTTTAAAGACAAATGAATATATTGTCTTCACATGATAACCTTTTATTGATTCAACCAGAGCAGGCAACTAAAATTTATTTCTCATTTAGATTCATCAAATAAAACTAAAAAGAACAATACACACAGGGAAAATGCGATTACCTTTTTGGTACAATCAGTGGCTTTGTGAAATGAATATAAAAAAAAAAAAATCGAAAAGAGATGATGAATAATATTTGCAAAGCAGAATTTTTTTTTGTGTATTTATAATTCCGTTATCATTATTTATTAATATATTAATATATTAATATATTACTTTGTTTTGAAAGGCAATTGTAAACATCACGTTTTTTTTATGTACGTACGTACGTACGTACCTGCTGCCGCAGGAATTTCTGGTTTAATAATAGTAGAAAAAATAACTGTGATAGAGGAACGGGTAACACAATAGATGAATTAATAAATTCTGTTACATCATACGTATGTACTATACGTAATAGGTACGTATGTACTTGTACTTATGTACGTACTTACGTACGACTATAACACGAAATTTAATATTTTCAAATTTATTGTTTTAAAAAATGAAACAAACATCTTAATTGGCTTATATTGTCATTGCTATAATATGTAGATGTAATTACTACTGTATATTGGATACATGTATTTAGAATTATTAATATTTTTATTAAAAATAAAATACAAGTTAATAAATTAAAAGTTATTTTGTATTTTTTAAAAACTTTAAACAATTCTAGATAAAATTTTTTAAAAAATTGCTATAACTTTACTTATAATTTATTTAGTTTAAATTAAAATAGTTATTAAAATGGTTTGATAATATTGAAATATATAATTATGGTATATACAGGATATAGTAATATAGGTTTGTATTTAAATCAATATTTAATTATTTTAAAAAAAAACAATTTTAAAATAATATATATAAATATAATAGTTATAAAATATTTAAAAACTTTAGTTAGTTTTAATCAAATATATAGTTAAAAAAATTAATTTTGTTTTTTTTTAGTAAATTCTGTTTATTTTATTTTAGAGACTAAATAGAATCTCTATATTGGCAATATATTAATTACAGTTTATAACATTTCAACCAAAAGTAAAACTTACTTAGTTTTACTTTGCAATTGCTATAGCTTCTATTTGCAGTCAGAGCAAACCATTAAATTACTGTTATATTTAGATGTGACCTGTCTAGCAATAATTGGCCTCTTAAAAATCTGAAACTTATTTTAAATTTTTTTTTCTAGTATTCTTAGCTAGTTGTTGCACATTCTGTCAAGATTCCTACTCTACAATAAAATATTGTCAAACTGATAATATTTTTTTATAGAGAAAGAAAAAGGAAAAAAGAAAATAGAAAATAAAAAATATAAGATAAAATAAAAACTAATATATTAAAAAACAGGTACTGTCATATAGTAGATTATAATGAAATCAGATTAAAATAAAATAAGGAGTTTTATTTGACCCTCTAAAACTCACTTATACTTATTTATTATAAAACCTGCTTCTAAATCCTAATTTTAACTCTAAAAAAATGCTAAAACTATTGTTTTACAACCTCCCAGTACAAGCTGATATAACCAAGATTACAGGTACTGACTTAATCGATATATTATATAGTCTGATATCACATATTTTGTAAATTCAAATTTCATCGCCAGTGGGATTTGACTCTTGCCTGCTGTTTGGAAGTGTAACAACTTACTAACTTTACTAAGTCACTATACCATAGTATTTAATTTAATATAGATATAATATTTATAATAGATATATTAATCAGAATTGCAAAATTTTGGTATTATTCAATCTGCTTTATCAAAATAAATTGAATAAATCTAAAATCTTGTAATTTTAATTAATACATTATATAATATTAT